AGTGTTCTACTCGCTTCCACGCAGAGTGAGTTGATTTACGAGTTTTTGAGTTTGCACGGTCAGAGCTCTAGAAAAAGTGTCTCAGAAATTTGTATGCGCTTATCTTGATACGCCCCCTTACCTCTTATTACTCTGATAAAAAATCTCAATCTCACTTCATATATTTCTATGCTGAACGCTTGCTTTTGCAGTGTCATCAAAAGTGTATTTAAAGGTAGTTTAGTAGCAACAAATGTCTCAGATCGTTCGCAAACTTGTTTAATTAACATTTCGTAAGGAAAGGTATGCATATGGAATACGCGATATCTTCCTTCAAATCCTAAAACTGCGACAACTGCAAAACTGGATATGTAAGGTCTCATAATAATGGTTGAGATGAGATAACAAATGTTACATGTTGCGCGTTCCAATTTATAGCAGTAGGCAAATCTATTAATGCTAAAGGCAGGAAATTTAACGAGAATTGAACGAAGAGCCCGGAGAAGGGGGTTAATCACAAGCTCAATTTGGGAAATTGGAAACATTTTTTTTGATTTCTCTAACCATTGCATTAACCTCTACTTTGTCTGCAAACCTGATAGTTACCCAAGAAAATGATTATCTCTGATAGATTTTTCTTTTTTATTCATTGGCTACTACAAATCAAGATGTAGGATAAAAAAGAAAAATACTCTTAGAAAATCATTTCCAAGCGAATGCTACGTATTTGAGATGCTTTATGTATGCTTCTTCGTCAAGATAATACCGTAAGCTTAGACCGTCACTAGCCTGTATCTCTCCTCATATGTTCGAGATATGTTTTAGCAGCTATATTTTATTTCCATATCATTCTCTTATCTCACATAGTCCACTGCTATGCTTTGCAATTCCATGCTTTAGTTATGCTCTTATTTTCTTGCAAGATAGTTATGTATTTTCTGTGCTACCTTCTATTATGAATCTTAAAAGAAAGGGTGTTTGAATAATTTTTTGACTTTTCCCCCATATTATGTCATTATGTCCGTGAAGTGCTCTTTATGCCTTGTTTTAATTCTCTTCAACAATTGTCATACAATATATCTATGAAAAATGATGGACAGCCATTAAATCCTTGCGAAAATTTACTTGGAGTAGCAATATTTTACCCTGGATCGTAAATCCAAAACCTGCAAAGTTAAACAATTTCAATTCCCACATGCTTTTTATATTTCCGTTGT